TGCAGCACTGGAAGGGCCCAGAGGTCCCAGGCTCCAGGCTGCTAATTTCCTAATTGAGCTATTAGCTGCAGCCCGGGCACCTGGCACAGGAGGGGAGGCTCCGGCAGCAGGGACACCTGCATTTCAGCCCTGCAAAACTGCCACACCTGGGGGTCAGGGACCCCCATAGCCCCTGCAAACCCCACACGGGGGCTGGAGCGGGAGCAGAACGGGGAATAAACCCTAACCGCCGTGTTTTCCCCCCCCGCAGGCTCGCTGGGCACGGCGGGCCGCGTGTGCAACAAGGCGTCCCGCGGCACGGACGGCTGCGAGGTGATGTGCTGCGGCCGCGGCTACGACACCACGCGCGTCACCCGCGTCACCAAGTGCGAGTGCAAGTTCCACTGGTGCTGCGCCGTGCGCTGCAAGGAGTGCCAGGACACCGTGGACGTGCACACGTGCAAGGCCCCCAAGCGGGCCGAGTGGTTAGACCAGACCTGAGCGCGCGCCCGCGGCGCAGGGAAGCACCCGCCGCAACCCCGGCACCTTTGGGAGACCTCTGCCCCACGGGCCACGGCGACCKGGGAGTTGTAGTTCAACTGCATGGCTTTTATTTAATTAATTCCGCAAAGCACTAAAGACAGGACTACGTTTCCCAGGAGGTACCGGAGACCCTTCTATTTGCGCGGCGAAATTAATCTCTTCCCTAGGAGGAGTCTGCAAGCCTGGCTTAAAGCTGTGACGCTCCTGCTRCCCGTCGTTCCCGGCAGAGGGGCAGCGCAGCCGGGCGGGCTGGGAGCAGCGGCCGCCGGAGCGCGGCGCCCGCCGGACCCGGCCTGCATCTCCCCGAGGACTCGGCGCAGGGAGGTTTCACCAGCACAAAGAACGAGAAACTCTTGCAGAAAGCAGCTCTCGCTTTGCGCCGTTCGCACGGCCGCGAGGAGGGTGGTGCAGGTTCCTGAGCGAGTGCGAGGGTCCCAATGTTCGGCTGCATGCAACGGCAGCCGAATCCGGGCGGCTTCCCCAGGGGAGCCTGTCCCGGCTCCCGGCGCAGGGGACGGTGGCGCTGGGAAGGGTCGTGGCAAAGCCGGCTCCCGGCAGAAGGACCCACGGGATTTCCGTGCGTGCTCACGGTAACCGGAGGGGCAGGGAGAGCCAAACCGGGGGGCTGGCTGGTAGGTCTGGAAGGCAACAGATGCCACAGTGTCTCTGTAAAACTCACTTGTACGTTGTGTATACTGCTTATTATTTTAAGACAAAAATTCATTATAAACCTGTATCAGAAAAAGATGTCCTTTGGTTTTTGAGTTCTGCGTAGCCAGCCGTGCAGGGGGGTCCTCCACCCRCAGCTTTCCGTCCTGCCTTCCCACCTCCAGGCTCTGCCCTTAGGCAAGGCCTCCCCACCCCTTAAACCAGGCTTGTTCCCCTGTAAAACGGAGCCGCTTGAGACCTATGGAGACCCTCCTTGGGAGCAGGACACCCCCGGCTGTCTAGAGCAGGGTCAAGAAGGAGATCCYGGGTGATTCCCTGTCTTCCCCACGGGGTGGGGAGTCCTTAACAAGTCCTTAACAAGTCCCCGCTCCAAGAGCGGTGCTGACGGAGGGGCAGGAGCCCAAGGCTGCCGGGACGGGATGTGCTCTGGGGGTCCACTGGGATTCCCTCCATTCCCTCTTCTTCTTGCTCGTTCAGGTGACCACTGATGGCAGAGAGGCTTCATATAGTTTAAAGATGCTTTATAGAGACTCATGAGAAAGCATCCATCCACACAGACTTGCTCGGCACGACTCCCATTTGTACACAAAAACACGTTTGTGTTTTTGAAGTCATTCAAAAGTAAATCTCCCCAAAGCACTGAATTTTCTGGGCACAAGCTGAAGTGYAAAGTGTTTAATGTCAAAGTGCCCAGTTCTACCCCATGGCCCTAGGAGACGTGAGGCTCGTCAGGCGAGAGGGAACGGCTTTGATGGGAAGTGCTCCGAGAGTCTCAGCCGCCCAATTCTCTCCTGCACTCGGCGCGGATCAGAGGGCTCGGCTGCACCTCTCCTCCTCCGGCTGCTCGTGCAGAGCTCCAGCCAAGCTCGTGTCTATCCTGGAGGCTCCCGGGGGTCTCCCCTGGTGSTCCAGAGCCCTGGAGCTTCAAAGGGCGGCAGTTTCCACGGCGTTTGTTGTGCCGCAGGCTGCAGGAAGGCTGCAGGTGCATTGAGGAGGCTGCAGGCAGGAYGGTGGCACACTGAGCTCCCGCACCGGCAGGAGCCCGCTCATCTATCTTCATCGCTGCTCCACCTACCATCAATTTATGACACACTTTAAAAAATGCTGCCCCCTTTGCAATCAATCCAAGCGTCTCTGCTCTCCTCTCCCCGGAGCAACACCCGCTGCAAAGGCTGTGAAGGACCCCCGGGAAGGGGCAGCTCTCCAAGAACGTCTTTTCCTCCACTGGATCCTGGGAACTCTCTTCCAATGGAAACACGGTTTCTTAGCGGATTTGGGGACCCAGCTGACGAACGACAGCTTAATCATTAGCTCCTGCGGGGCTCCCAGGGAATTTCTTCAGTGTGGATGCTRCTGTTCAACATTGCACAACATGGAGCAGGACGTCCCGAGGTCGGATGGTTTCAGGTTTATTGCCTTCCCCCTTCTCGGCTGCAAACTCTATCATCCCCAAACATGGAGGCTAGGGACCTTTATCACTTCACAGCTGAAAAGGCAACTCTCCGACTCTGCCAGTTTGCACAGACATGACTAAATTCAGTACTTCGCAGCAATAAGATGGAAGMTTAAACCTTGCAAAAAGCAGGTACCAGGATTAGCGCTTCAGCTGTGGCCTCCGCGCGGTTCCTTCACGGCCCCCAGACCCACCAAGCGGGACAGCTTGTCCTGCAGAGGATTGCACTGCCGACCACGCGAGACRGAGGGCAGAGGGGACCGTTCCCCACGTGGCAGCAAAGGGGCATCGTGCAGAACCGTGCCAGGGCGCAGCGGGCTCCGTGCGGGACGCACAGCTCCGGCCCTTGGGATGGAGGTCCCTCGGCCGCGGCAGCCCTCGCGGCTTGGTAGGAGGATTCCCGGATTCCACGTCCAGGCTGTTGCCTGTTGTCTAACAAATGAGGCCTTCTGAAACTCCTTCAGCGCAGTCGCTTTCGGAAAACAGATGTTTTCCATCTTTAAAAGTTTATGAAGGCTGGAGTGTTGTCAGGGAATACTCAGTTCCACTCACATGCCCCTCTTAAGTAATTTGCCTGAAGTGTATGGGCAACCTTTTGTGCAGGATCATGTTCTAATTATCCTGCAGTCAAAAGCACGCCTGAACCCAAGGACAAGGAGCGGAATTAACTGCTTAACRAGTTTCTGAGCAACTTACCTCCCTGCGAACACTGGGCAGGACGCGCAGGAGGACACGGGAACTGCAGGATACAACGCCATGCAGAGCAGCCAAATCACACGGGAGCGCCGGAGCCCTAGCGGGTACCGGCCCTAGATGCACGCACCCATAGGAAGTTCATTTTGCAGCCTGCAACCACCCAGTTACATCTTCATCCTGGAGCCTCCTCATCACCGTCACAGACCCTTTCCGTTGGCCCTCGCGTCAGGCTCTGCTCCAATAGGTGCCAAACGGGCCGTTTTCTCAAGCGAGACCACGTTCCACGGGGTGATGTGAATAACCACCCTCTTCCCGCACGTGTCCGCACCCCAGGCACAGATTTATTGGGGTGTTTCCACTAAGATCTGCACAGGCTGCCAGGATCCGCGTGGGAGCCTGCAGCCAGGACAGAGGGGGAACCAAGAGCTGTCTTGAGCAAAGGGGTGGGTTGATGAGGCCAAGGTGCAAGTGGAGCAGGAGAGGTACCCAAAGATAAAACAATGGCCAGAAATAACCAAAGCAAGATCATCCCCAATGGAGAACGTGTGCACAGAAGGACCCGTACTGACACAAACGTGGGTATGTCATGGAGCATTCCCAATAAGGGGACGTGCCAAAGGGTCTAGTGACAAGCGTGACACCAAGCAGAGCGGGGACAAGGAGAGCTCCTCACATGTGAGCCCCATCCCTGATGGTCACTCTATTTCCGCAGCGCTCAGGGCTGGCGCTTGCAGAACACGCCTCAATTACAAGGCTCAAGAAAGGGAGCCGACAGCCCGGAGATCACGACAAGAGCTTGCAACTCAAGCTGCCTTTCCTTGCTGTCCATCTTCATTACAAGTTGAGCTGAGATCAGTTGCTATTGCCAAGTACCTGGCGTTTGGGAGCATTTTTGAGTCACAAGCAGAAGATGAGGCATCCTATCACCTTTGCAGCAATACAGACATAACCAATGAAAGGGGAAACAAGGAGCCTGCTCCTCCTTTTTGAGAGGAGAACGTGGCAAGAGGGTGCTGCCCTGAGCTTGGTAGACCATGAATTCACGTCGCCCCGACCTTGCTGCCAATGCTGTCCTCTGTCCCAAATGCAGCATCCCTGCACATCTGCTCCCTGCCTCCACAGCTGGCCCGAGTCTAAAATCTCCGTTTCATGTGGCTCCCACCTACACGCCCCATATATTAGCAGTCTGGGAGGTGCGTTTCCCCTCAGCCTGTCATTCTCTGGGCAGGGGGGAACGGGCAAAATTAATTTACGGCCGCAAGAAGCCCATATGAGCATCTCCATTTCTGCGAGGGAATTTGCTTTCTTATTTAACCTCTCRTGCCTGCTGGCACTGGAGGCTGATGATGCAGCTTGTAGAGGTGCAGGCACTTCCCTCTTCCCCCTCCCCCTGGAATCCTCCTCTCACTTGTGGTCCTTGGGATTCACCCAATGTTTCTCAGAAAAAAGAGGACCTCGAGACAAGTATGCATTTAATAAGCAGAGAGACAAATAAGCTCCAGTTATCCCAGCAGAATTACAACACCAGAGAACAATTTGCTGCATTCCTCTGAAGGCCTGAAGGAACCCAATTGCCTGCTCTCAGCCTAAATAGGTACCAGACACCAAGTGCTCCATAAGCAAACAGAGCCCCCAAAGTGCAAAAATGAAATAAGTAAAAAGCTTCACGTTACATATAAACCAGCCGTTTGCACCTTGTTATTAATGGTCTTGACTATGACCTCTGCCCCCTGCCTTGCTCAGAGCCATGGATCTACAAGCCTTGGCACCCTCACAACAATCCCGGGATGAGGAGGTGGGAAATAAACAGGCCGGCCCATGCCGAGGAGATGCAATATGGGGAGACACCCCGGAGCTCCCGTGCAGCAGCCCGGGCTGCGGGACCCTCCAGGACGGTTCCTCAGCCCCGCGTGGTGACTGCGGCTCTGACGGGATGCAAAGCTGTCACCACGGATATGGGAGCGCAACATCGATCCCTAGTTTCAAGGCTGAGGAGCACCCAGTAGTGCAGACAACCGCAGCAGCGTTCACCGCCCCGAGGTGCTTAGATACTCAATTGCCTCTCATTACAGGCTCTGGTAAGATAGTGCCAAATCACACAAGAATTCAGCCACCTAACTGCCTCAGAAGCAATAGATTCAGTGCCTAGGAGAGCATTTCCCTCTCTCTTGTCTTTCTTAAGAGATGGCACTTACATAATAGTAAGAGATTAGAAAAAAAAAGGCTGCACTCCTCTTCCTAGATAGTCCGATAGAAATGGATTTGTCCTAAGATGTTAGGAGACGGTGTAAGTAACACCAGAAAAAAAAACCTAAACTCCCCTCTTGCCAGCATGAATCAAAAAAACCCGTAATTATCCTTTCTACATATAGATTTCTAAGCAAAAAACTAGTAGTATTGATTTTCAAGGTCTTTGACTTTTTCTAAGAAAATTAGGTATTTTGCTATTACTGTAAATACTGCTACTTTCCCGCAAAAGGGCTTTTGTCATCCCAGCGACTATAAGGTTACTTTGCAGCTTGTCTCCAGGAAATGGCAGCAATCAACGCTTATCTTTCCCAAGTCATAATCAACTTGTACATACACAGCTTAATTGAAATGTGGACTGAAATGATATTGCTGTGGTACGGATGAGTTAGCGAGCTCTTGCTCAGAAGTGGCAAAGGAATGTTCCTCCAAAGTATGCACAATCCTGCTAGAAAAATGATACAGAGCGTTCCTCCTTCCTCAAGAATTATTGGCACTTCTGGAAAGGCAAGAAGATTTTCAGTACATAGACTGTTGCCAGCTATACTTTCAGCATAAGCCCATCCCCTTTCTGTTACTGTTATGTCAGGGGAGGACAGTGAAAGAAAGCAGCTCTTGGGATGATACATGGAGGCAGCGCTTCATTTATAACCCCACACAAATGCTGGAAAATGTTCAACTTTAAAAAGCATTAGGTTGGTTACCTTATGGGCCCCTGCAGACCAAGAAGAAAAGTAACATGAACACAACATATCTATTAATCACCAGCATGATTCCATGGTGAGAAATGGCCCCAGTGGCTTACTTTCAACTGGAAACAAAGGTGAGAAAGTTACCTTCTAGGTGCTGGGCAGCTCACGCTGCTTTTGGCAGTGGCTTTCCACAGAACTTGCCTCTTGGCTTCTCAACGCAGGCAAGCATTTAACTTGGATTAAATATAGRCAACACAGAAACTGAGGAGAGCAACAACGACATCTCTGCTTGAACACCAGTGTTTCCCTTGGGCCACAGTAATACATAAGCTAAACTTATCTGATGCAGAGGTGACTGTCTGCTTCGTAGGCCTTTGCTTATACATTAAAGAAGGATGTGGCATGTTTTTCTCAGTCTTGTGTCAAGACAGATTACAAGACAATGCAAGCAGACTGAGATACCACACACTGCATATTTTCATTTTATATTTTGCCAAATGCTGGACTGACCACGGCTTGCACCTGCTAACGGATCCTTTGGCTGGAAGCTTGGCAAATGGAGGACTCGAAACTGCAACTGTGCAGAAAGAAACTTTCAGAGAATCAGAACTAAGGAATATTTYATAAAATACAGTTTCCTTGCATAATGTAAACTTACAGAGCACAGACGAGACATCTTTGTTTGCACAGTATCGTTTGTATTAAGCAACTGCTCAAGAAGTCAACATACTCAATGTGTTAAGAAGCAACCTTTTAATAAAGAAAGCGGAACCATACTTTGCTGTTAACAAATATTTTGAAAAAGGCTTATGAAATCAAATAGAAGCCAATTATCTTTTGCATCTGCAGCTGAGAAGGAAGTGTCAATACTCAAAACATCTGCTCAATTTGTGTTCTTTCATTTCTTTTAAAGGAAGCATTAGCTTCTAGTTGTAAAAGTGATTAAGAGAGCAATAAGATATTGCTCAACAGAAAACATTTCCTTAGATGATTACAGGCTTTAAGGTCAAAGAAATTCATAACATTAAGCACCATTACCAATGTAGAAGCCTGTGAAAGGAATCCTGTTGAGTAACACAGCTTTCCTTGCTTCCCCCCATCCAGCTAACACCAGTGGATGCTGGAGGTGATGCTCATGAGATGAGTGGAATCAAACTATCCTGAAAGCTGGTCCCACTCGGACTGCAGGGTCCAGACAGGTCCTGCCAGGGTCCAGACAGCACCAGCATCTCTGTGTTTCTGTCAGGATGCKGAGTCCCAAAGAACTGTAAGAAACAGAGAAAGAACACAATGATRAAATGAACTCAATTTCTACACATACTTTCACAGACTTATGGTATGATCAAAGAAATCCTGCATCTTTCCTCAAGACACAGCTACATTTTCCTCARGAACGATGCCATGAAATAGGCTTGTAGAAAATATTAACATGGATTTTAATACACAAAAAAAGATCATTATCTGTAGGACAAAACCGAACACAACATCTGTCACATATGAAATTTTATTACATTTTTGCTATTAGTAAATGGGGGTTCAATGTTTGAGAGTTGCTTAAAACTGGTAAGTGAACAAGAAGACTGGGAAACAAAAGTGGATCCTCAAACTCTCTGCTTTAACTGCAGATCTTTTCATCAGAACAGTTCTCAAGGCCACAAAATAGCTTCAGTATGACAATACTTTAGTATGTCACTACAAAGACTCTGCTTTTAAATCCAAGAAGGGAGAGACGAGGCAAAGAGGAGAGGGCAGGTGTGGGAAGGCATTAACTCACCTGCTGGGCTCGGCTTGGTGGGCGCCTCTCAGCTGGATGCCAGGACGCTGGGTGCGCTCACGGGCCAGAGCACCCGCAGCACCTAAGMAMAAGCAGGACGAGTGAGGACCGCAGCTCGAGCACAAGCAGGACGAGTGAGGACCGCAGCTCGAGCACAAGCAGGACGAGTGAGGACCGCAGCTCGCACGCTGCGGCTCCAGCTGCGCCAGCCCCACGGCTGCAGGGTCCCACGGGCTGCGAAGGGGGCAGCCTATCCTCTTAACCGGGCACAGATTATTTATAGGTCATTAATTCAAATGCACAGAAATTGCACAGAGAATCTAGGAGGGGCAGCCCATGGTTCCAGATATGTATTCGTGATGCCATCTAAACCATCCCAGAAATACAGGGCAGATTATAACAAATGCTGCAAACTCCCCTGCACCCTCCCGACTCATCTCCCCAGTTASGCAGTGGGACTCACGTTATCCTCGCACAAACCCTCTTTCCATGAGGCAGCACTGACAGGACTCATTTACTTTGAGGGCTTTACTTTGGCCCTCCTGGCTTATATCATAACCTCAAATATTACATTAAAAAGGCTTTTAAAACATAACATTCACAGCAGCGCAGGAGCTTTTCGTTGCAGCTAGCTGCTTCKCTGCCTGTTTGCGTGTGGCACCTTCACATTAAGTGCATGAGTTAAGATGTAGATTAGCAAGGCAAGAAACCTTTGCCCTTGGCATCGACACTCAGCTGTGACAGGAAACTTCAGGCTTTTTTTCTGTGAAGTGCACAGCCACTCATTACACATTGGCAGGGAAGTGCACATCTCCAAACTATACACATTTTCTCTTGGATAAGCAAAAGACTCAAGTGTTTATAAATATGAAAAGTTCAGCAGCTGGCTAAAAACTTAATTCTCCCGTCTCATTTAATGAGCTTTGGGGAAAGTGGTAGGGGGATTTGCTCAGAAAGCAAAGCAGAGCATCACAGAAAACAGGACTTGCCAGACCGGGGTCTGTTTAGTCCCATATTCCGTCTCTAGCAATGGCTGCTATCAGTAGAACAGCACAAAACGCTCTAATGGGTAGCTCTGGAACAACTAACCAGAAAAATGTTTTCTCCTAATCTTGTAAATTAAAAACTGGCTGAGTTGTGTGACCAAGTCCCATGACTTCCTCTTCTGCTGCAAAGATATCAAGCAATCTGTATCAAACACGGCTTGTCTTAGGAACCGCTCCAGTTCCATACACAAGAAAGTGCTTTCAGTAAGATACTGGAACACTGTTGCATGCTTTTGCCCCARTAATAATAATAATAATAATGATCTATTCTAGTTGCATATAATTGGAAAAAAAAAGATATTAGGCCTTATAAAATGAGATGCATTTCTTGTGAAGTTAAGCATGTTAGCTTTTTCTCAGCCTTTCTAACAAGGTTGTTGACAGTGCCTGCTGTCACTCCGTAGCTGTGTTTTCTTTTGGTGTCTTTACATGCCATTATAGAAGGAATTGTGCAAGATCACTTTTGAAAGTTTATTCATAGCTACCTACTTTTCCACCTAGGCATTTATTTAAAATTCATACAAAAGAGAAAAAAAACAGATCCTTTTGTCTGCAGTTTTGACAGAAATTATTCTATATGACAGAATATTTTTCAGCTTACTCGGTGAGCTGAATATGTTAGTGTCATCTGTGTTTTGCACTTCCTCCCTCCTGYACACTAATGGGAAAATCCTGAGCAGCATCTGCTCAAGAAATAAAGCAGCCCYAGGTTATCAGTAACAGAGGGATTGTCCAGAAGATCAGAAGTTCCCTGGAAAAGCGGCAACATTTTGCTCCTAACACCACAACACGCACCTAGAGGGTATGCAAATCCTACAGTATTCTCTCTCTACTGTTACATATGCCATTGCCATCAGCTGAAATGACTTGTAGAGCACATCTTCTAGCTGAAGCTCACTCTGAGTTTCAAGGGTACCAATATGCCAGGGTTGCCTCTAGCCAGGTCCATAAACGCTCAGCACTTCTGGCAATATCAGGCCCTAATGTCTGCAAACACTTGCCCCGTAGAGGACATGCTGAAACCCTGGCCCGGTGCAAAGGGCAGGGGGCACAAGGCAAAGGTGCCAGCAGCCTGGAAGGGAGCTGCAGCAGAGTAGGTGCCAGGGCAAAAGGCTTTGCTAYGCCGAACAGCACTGTATACATTGGAACTAGCAAATGCTTCGTTGTGATTTTTGGCCCCTTGCAATATTTTTAGCAATTTGCCAAGGTTTACCCTGTGATTTATTATGGAGGAAACAAACTCAAGCACTAACAAATGAAAATATGTAAACTCAGACCTTTCAAGTCAATGGAAAGGTATTCAACTCTTCAAAGCTCTTTAGAGTCATGCAACTCACTATATATTCAATTGCTGGAATCTGCTTGATTAACAAACAAGTCCAATGTAACCTAAGTGCTCGGAATTAAATCAAAGATTATTGTGAGAAAACATACACATGCTATTTTGCAATTGTCATTCCTGCTGCCGTGTCCTGGAATTACAGTGATTCAGTAATTCCAACTTTTGCACTGAGACCAAAACATTAAGTGCCTTTTCTTGAACTTTATCTCAATCTACTGCAAACAATAAGTCAAAAAGTAGTATAATGAAAAAATGCTTGAAATCATGATTTTTTTTTTTTTTTTAATTTAGAAAGCTTAACACACAGGAATTACCTGCAGATATAACACTAGAAAAAGTAAATAACTATTTATGACAGGCGTATGGGGGTTTTTCCCCCCCTTTTTTTTCTGGAGGGTGGGGAAGAGTACATTTACCTAGCAATTTAAAAAAASAATATTAGCCATTAGACTAATAAATGGAAGTTAACAGTAATTGTATTGCCAGTCTCACTAGGATAARGAATTCACTTGTCCCCTCCACCTCAAGGTGTAATTTCCACTTTTACTGGCTCTAAGCTAGCATCCCGAGTGGCAGGAACTCCCTGCTCTGTACCTGCCATTGAAGTTAATTGGCTGGTAAAATTATGCAGCAATATGCATGCTTCCTGATCATCTTTTCCTGCTGAACAGACATTACTTGTCCTTTCCTGTAGAAAATAAGTGAAATAAATATGTTGCCAAGTGGATAAACCCTTGAGATTTTTTCCCCACATGTGAATGTCACTTGACATTCAAAATGTCATTATGCACAGCCAAACAGCTTCGTACGTACAAAGTCTTTTGTTTTGGTTCAAGAAACCCAGAGAGAACTTCACCAAGCGATTCTTTGTTAGCATAACATTTGACCTTGTATCTCTTTGGAAATCGTACAACTTTGCTAATGCAGCCCTTACAGAATTAATCAAGTAGATAGTTAGACCCTGGTTACACGAAGCCAGCCAATTATGAGCAGCAYTGAAATTTGTCACTGGCATGTCCAACTACATTTTCCAACATAAAGATCAACAGAACTGGGTGGAAATGGGGCCCTCACTCTCTGACCTGCCTGACTTGGACAGTGTTGACTAGAATCACTAGCAAAGCCAATGTTTTTGGAAAAATGTATTCTAAAGAAAATAAAAGGACTTACTTCCTAGGTCTCCATTACCTGGTGCATTAAAATAACCAGAAATTAGAAATTCTTTCAGCCTGTCTTTTGACTAGTGAAGCTTGAATAACTACTGAGCTGAAAGTTCAGTCCTCTTCAGCTGGCACTCTGCTATTTCATGATTTCGGAACCATAGCTCAATAAAGGCCAGCAGTATCTCACTCTGCAGTGTGAGAGGAGGAAATGGGAAGATACTCCTTTTTTTCCCAAGGTATGTTAACTAATGACCTTTTTTGTCAAAATACACCATTCAGTTCACCCAAATTTCAGTTGTCACTGAACACACTGTGACAAGAGGACACAGGTGACTCGCTGCCCACGTTTCTCATAAGACAGGGTTTCACCGAGACAGGCCACAAACGCTGCACTTGGTGAGGCAGAGGCTACGCAGCGCTGCGAGCAAGACCAGACCGAGCACCCCGCTCCGCTGCACTTGCACAGCTCCAGCKGACAGTACCTGTCAGCTTAGCCCTGTATTCTAGCACCCAAACAGCAACAGAAAGCCCACAGAATATCCCATTTAAGCCACAAGTTCCCTGCTCTACAATCACTGCTTTGAAGATCCACTCGTTATTTCTGTCACTAAGCCTTTCTGTAGTAGCACCTTTAAAACACAACAACTACCTAAAGCAGAAGTTTAGAAGAGCAGCACCCCTGTTACAGAGCAGTAASAACACATAGAGCAGAAGGAAAGAAACCAAGAAGTTATTTGATAAATGATTGTGTCTAACTTTCCTACACAAGCTTCAACACCTCCTGTGTTAAGCACTGAGCAGACACATAGCGAGACACTGCAAACATCTGCTGCATGGATGTTGGCATCTCTGATTTTTAAAAGGCAAAGACGTGAAGAACAGTGGTAAAATGGAAATACATCTAAAAATGTTACAGGGCTTTATTTGGTTTCCAATTTTGATGCCATAACACGTCTTACAGGAAGATTTTACAATTGCTATTGTAAGTATTGGAGCCGCCATCCCTGCTCRCTGCGGAACATTCCTTTGCACGACAACAAAAAACAGCAGCAAGTCAAACGGCTTACAGAGAATGTGCAAAGTTGTATTTGTTTTGCACGGTGTCCTCAAAATGATACAAGATACAAATCTAAACAGTTTCTTTCTCAGGGAGTTTACAATTTAAACATTCCCAAGCCTTGGATTTTAACTCCTGTTGGTTCCTGCAAAAGCCTCCTAAATCAGGATGCAAAATTTTGGGGTTTTTTTTTTGTTTGTTTTTAACTTCGAGCTTGAATTTTAAGCTGAAAAATCAAGTTAATGAGACAGTAGAAGTCAAAGCTATATTACATTCAATGGGCATTCAGGAGTAACCTCGTTAAGTTAGAGGGAAGAGTAGGTCGTTTTTGGTAAGCTATGAATCCAACTCTGCCAAGCATCRAACACATCACACAGCTTTGAGGAACACAAGACTGACTACAGCCTCCAGCAGCACCGAGCACAGAGCTCAGAAATTCCAAAGATCCCCCAAATTCCCTAAGCTAGCCCCAAAACAGAAACAGTACTTACAGCTTTAGCAAAAACTACCATGAGCTCAGGGAACTGGTGTGTAAGGAGGGCGAGCATTGCTGAGAAGGAGCAGAGGCCTGCTGTGAAATGGATGAAAAAGGGAAGCTCCTTCTGCGGATACACGGAGACTTCATGAAACGCTGAAAGGAAAATATCGAGAATATTGGGATTTGATAATCAATAATGCATATGAATTAATTTTACACTCAATTCTGTACTACTGCCAGTGTGGTCTTGAAACTGCTATGCGGCTCAAAACAAGTTCCAGCACCTTATTCAAACTTCTAAAAAGTTTCCCAACAGTAAATTACTTTGCTTATTATTAACAGTCTCTACAGCTTTCTCTCCCCAATCTTCTTCCCCACTTGCATGGGATTTATTTTTAAAACATTTCATCAGGCTTAGTTTTTGATACTTACTCTTTTAACAGAACAGAAGGAAGAGCTATAAAATTTACAAGCTGTCAAAATACATGTTCCAGACAAATTACCTAGACCAATTTAAACAATTCAGGTGTTTTCAACCTTTTGAAGTATTAACTCTATTATTTAAAGAGAACAGCATTTTTCAAGATTATTTCATTTTTCCTGCCTCTCCTATTTTAATGGAATACTCATCCACCTCGAGTTCAGTAAATCCAGATCAACCATCAGATCGTACATGCACRCTCTGTAAAACTTCCCAAAGATTTCTGCTTTGCAGACTACAGTACATTTTTCAAGCAGCTGACAGAGGAGACCTCAAAGAAAACAGCACCAGAACTAGGTTATAAWTTCTGTATATAACAGTTTCTTGCTATCTCAAGTCTATGCTCATGAAATCAAAAGAAGGTGATTAGACAGCCTAAGGGGCTGGCATATGGAGCTTTCAGCACTCAAGACACTAAAACTGATTACTAGCTGAGGACTTGCTTGGTGAATCTGTAATTACTTTCAGGCTCTGAATATCTGCAGTTCTGACTTTCTATCAATGATTTTGGAAGCTTTTCTTAAATGAAGGTTTCTTTATACATCGGCAATTATGGAAGGGTTGCACATATTTCTGCAGAACCTGCTTCTAAATCTACAAAAGCAAAAATTTGGGAAGCCTTTTTAGAAAATATGAAAATATTTTTTGCCATATTTGTTTTTACTATACTAGTTTTTCATTTTCTATCTCTTTTTTTTTTTTTTTTTGCTTTTAACACGTAGCAGACTGAACTGAGGGAAAAAGACAGTTCACCCACCCTGTTACTGCTTCTGAATGCTGGCACATAAAAACATTAGAAGCGTTACCACTGTGAGAGTAACCCCAGCAAAAACGACTCGTGCCTTTGCCTACAACTCATGGATGATAAAGGGCTTGGTTTTGCTTTGCTTTTTAAACCCACTATGGACCTTCTTCAACAGCCAGCCCTGCTACTTTATGATAGAGCATGACAGCATCGYGCCCGTCTTGCCAAGCAAAGGAATGGCTGCTCAGTACCGACAGTGCCAGGCTCTCATGCAGGGTCGAAACTCATCTGATTTTATATCAGTTGTTCCTATGCTGAGATATTCAAATCAAATCCAAAATACATAAGGATAACTAAAACCAATGCTAAATGCTCGCAGTCAGCTACTAGTCRGATCAATTCAGGTTTCTGAATCACTAATTTGGCTGTTATTTCAAAAAGATAAGTTTTAAAAAAAAAARTGCCATTATTTCTTGAGGAAGTACTGCAATAAAAGTGTTAAGATGATTTTATTTATGGGTAGCTTTATATTTAAAATGTAACAGGAATGCGCGAGTGATCGTGTTGAAATATGTGCATGTGTTGGTGTTTAATTATGCTGGGAAGTCTACAATTTAGGGTTAGTCACTAACCAAGGAATTCCTTGTGCAATATCCTGCATAAGTGAGAAATGAGTAATTTAAGGCAGTCTGGGGGCAAATTTAAATTACACATTTTAAATATAACTTCAGGCATTTAAATAGAAATACGTATGTGTAGGTTTGCTTTTCCACAGCTGTGGTCTCAGTGGGTCTGTTGGTACTTTACAGTAGCCCTTTACAATCTGCCAGGACCCTTGTTTCTTCATGACATAAAAGGTAGCCTTAAAAGAATTCTATTAGTAGACACCATTAAGAGTCCAATTCTTACCTATATGAATGTTACCTTCTCAGACATAATGAGCAAAGGTCCTAAAAGCTTATTTTCAGGTTGCCTTATCCAAACAAAAGCATCTAGGCTCATATTTCCATAAAATAATCTTGATATAATAGGCAGTTGAAGAGCACTTGCTCCTCAGTGCTAAATGTTAGTATAAATCCATAAGACAATCTAAATGGATAAAAAATTCCAGGAGACATACCACAGAGCACATGAATATGTACTGAAAAATTAATCACAGAGACCAATAAATATTCTCTCAAGCTAAAGATTAACCAAGGATTTCCTTTAAGATCATAAACAGGTTATGCCAAATACTTGCATGTCAGAAATGCAAGAATGGAACCATACATTTACATCTTGCTAAAAATAAACAGCTCCTCTGCTACAGTAACCAAATCCATGACTTTTAGAAGTGATGCAAGGAACTGGTCTATTTTTTTTTTCTGCTCTCAAAGATGGGAAAACACAGGGTGAATAAACCACACATGGAAACCTCCTCTTGGGAGGACCTATTTGGTTATTATAGAATCAAGCCACCACTTATCCCCAAGCACATGTAAAGTGCTTAAGGAACATTTAGGAGGGACATCAACAAGTAGCTGAATCCCCTTCACGGGAAGCTCCAATTTCAAACCACAATGAAGTAAATATAGAACATCATAAACTGAACACTTCCTTAGGTTATGTTTTATTATCAATGCTTAGAAACCACTTACTTGGCAACAGCTCTCTGTCTGCTGTTTCTGTACAACTTGGATAAGGATAAAAAAGATGGCCTTTCTCTAATGGGTAGGGGATCATCCTAAATGCTGGGAAAAAAAAAAAAAGTGAGTGGCACTAGATTCATAGCTAAATCAAGCAGCCAGATTCCCACAAGGAGAACCAACCGGGATTGAGGTGAATAAAGCACAGAGATTAGTCCACTGTCCAAAAAGAAAAAGAGAAAAACCACGCAAACAAAGCAAAGGTACTTACTGCCCTCCCACGTGCAATGTAAYAGATTTAGAGCCCCTTCTATCCTCTTCCAGTGCTGGAGATGAAAAAAAGCATATGCTACTGCCTCACTGTCCCCTCGTTTCAGAATATGCTCTGGAGGTAGGACTAGGCTTTTCATTTCTAGCAAATACTGAAAGCAGAAGTGGAAAGCACTTTGTTACATGGAATATTCGTAAAACCTTACTAACTGTGAAAGATAAAGGATCATTTGAGGCATAACACAGCGCAGAGACCAACTTTATCTTTTGAAGAAATAGCATTCATTTGCACAAGAAAGAAAAAAAACCCTAAATATCACTATTATGAGGCTATTAAACTAATTTTCACAGAATACACAGAATATTAGGAAAAATACATCTACAATGAGACAAAGCGTGAACTTATTTGTAGAAGATATCTAAAACATATCGCTGCTGATACAACAGGAAAGAATTGTAAGTTTAAGCTAATAAAAACCCTTGTACTTTTATCCACAGTTTTATTACAACCTTTCAACACACAAGGCAAATATTTGTTAGTTCTTGAGTGTCAGTAGCAAGTCAGAAGTGGGTGGCAAGTGCCAGCATGCTAAAAAATAGAAGGATCAAGTAGAATTCTGAAAATCCTGGTTCTAACATGGTTCTGTTCTGCTGTGTCACCACAAAGTAGCTCTGATTTCAGAATTTCTGTTTCAGGCTTCTCCCTACATGAGCAGAATACACAATGCATCGAAGAGCCAAAGACTACAAGAATTAATATTTTTTCCATTTCCCTTGAAACACAGGATGGGGTTTTTTTTGTATATTAAAAAGAGGCATTTCTTTTGAACTCCGCTTTTAAAACAGATATGTMATTTTTAGAAGCATAAAATGATAGTTCCAGCTCTAGTATTTACTTACGAGTTGTCTTCTCCTAGCATATAGTGTCTCATTCAATAACAGCCAAAGTTAATCCACACCTTTGATCAATGTGGCTGGCAATTCCTTGACTGTCTCCCAAAGTGTAAGAATGCAGGCAACTCACCGATTTATTTCAGCAGATGCCACAAACTATGAGATTATTTACTAATCCAGTTTGAGGACTTAACTTTTCCCATTCAGATTCTTGAAGGAATGTGGTAGGGGTTGTGCCCTGGCCAAATAAAGCACATTTACTGCCTGGCTAGGTTCTTCTCTTAGTGCCTTGGGCCTATGCTCTGGAGGGTAATATTCTTGCTAATCCTCTCTAATCCTCCTCTTTTTTTTTTTTTTTTTTTAACACAGTAAAGGATCACTCACACAGGGCTGCTGTGGGAAAATGGTCTCAAATATCTGACCTTCGACCTGACTCCTCATGCTCTGCACAGGGCCGCGGTTTCAGCTGTGCTAACTGCCCAGAGAGCAGGGGCCAACACGAGCGGAGCCTCCACGCGCTCTGCTCAACTCCACGCTCGTCCCCGCGCCCCACGCTACTATGTGAGCAGAAAAAAAAAGAACCCAGGAACTGAAAGATTTTAGTATTTTTTTCATATAACCATAAAATGACAAGGTATTRGTTTTTTTTTCCCCAGACTTTTCACCTATTTAAAATGTGTAAGATACCTAGATGATTGGAAAGGCATGTTTTGCAGATTATCAATGTGTAACTACAGATACTCCATTTGAAATGGCTTACAAGTATCATTTTATAGCACCATAAAACGTTTTCCTAACAAAAGCCATCCTTGTAAAAGCACGTTATTTTTCTCTCTTAGCTATCTTCTTTCTACAAAATGATGCTATCTGTGAAGACAGTCACAGAGATTTATACTTTGCACCCATTCCTTTTTAGTCCGGAGGAAAGAACAGACTGCAAGTTTAGAAACTAGATTTACTAGTCCATCATAATGTATTGGGCAAGTTACTTCACTTGTTTGTGCCCCTCCTCTCCTCTTYTTCCTTGTGTTTTGACTACGGATATTTTATAGCCCATACTCTAAATAGCCAACAATCATAAAATTCTGCCTGGAAGTTTTATCAACTGGTGTTTCAAGGAACTATTATAATAATAAAAACTACAAAGAAATCTGGACAATGTATAAGATTAGAGGACAAGATCAAAGTATGGAAACTTAGAATCACTTTCCTGATTGTCTGTAAAACCACCAAATACATTTTGCAAGCAGACTGCTTGATATGGTATCCAACCTCTTAAAAAAAGGTACATGACACTCCTAAAACAACTAAAGGCTATACAAAATAAAAGAACTTTTAGATAATGATAATGCGTTATAATCTTCTTCCCCTAAAGGCAGAGGGTAAAGAAAAATCTGTCTGAGACTGTCTGAAATGAACTTGCTGGGCTCTTGATCAGTCATGCAAAGAAGCAGCAATTTCTCCCAGCAATTAGCTTTCTCAGTGCACATTCTATTAGATTGGACAGGCAGACAGAATAGAGTGGTTGGATAATTCAAGCCTTCACAGCGATAGTCATTTGGACTCCATGATTATTTGCAGAGGATTATGTGCAGAACTAAGCCATCTTTCTGCATTCACGACTTCAAACTGAATGCATCCCCCAATGCTGGGACAGTAAAAAGCAAGAAAAGATAATTTTCACACAACGTATAGTGGAATCTATTACCTTGGTTACTTCAGGTAAAGGCAGACACCAAACTACAGCACATAACAGTACAGATTCTTACAGATTCTTGTTTACATAAGGATGAAGGAAATAAGTGACTGCAAATCTTTCAATAACCAGAGTTCTGCAGGCATGCTTTAAACACAACAGAAAGAAATATTTTCAAGTATTTCGCATAGTTTCTGTCTAGATAATTTAATTTGGCTTCAAGGCTTAGAAAGACTTAAATTTATATTTATTAACATTTAGCTTACTCAACAAATAGCCTTCAGCAATACATGACTAGGTTTTCCAGCAAGTTCAAAAGTTTTAGTTTGCATTTAAACATTAAGAAAAATACRAATTACAAGGTAGTTTTCTTACCAACCAACCAAACTAGAAAACTAATTCTAGCCACACATTTACGATATAAACAGCTAAAGGGCTGACGTTATAATCAACTTCAAATAAAAGAAGGCTAGAAAGGTTCAAACCACAGGACAACATCGTAAGACGACTTCTGTCAGAAGATGATAAAGTAGCCCAACAAGAAATAGAATACTCTTACCTTTGGAACATGAGGGTTAAATTCCACAGCTCTATGAATTGCTTCCACAGCGTTTATTTCTGCTGTGCTAAGCCCTCTTTTGGAGGCAGTTTCAGGGGAGAACCTGAAGTGAAAACCATGCAGGATAAAGTCGATAAAGGCTTCATCAGTTGCTTGTTTGTTCAAGGTTGTAAAGAATTAAGAACTGACTGACATATCAAAAATGAGAAACAAACCCTTCTAGCAAACAAATGAATCAAATACTAATTTAGTCAATCCTGACTGCCATCCAAGCCCCTATAACAAAGACTTATTAACCTTTTAGAAACTTCATGTCAATCACCTAAGGGAATTGAGTTCTCAGTCTTTTTTAAGACTGTTGCAACATGACTTCTAAGGAAGAAAAGCTAAAAATCACCTGAGAAAATCTATCAGGAAAAGAAAAATGCCAATTTGAGCTTCCACAAATATCCAGCACCTAATCCACATACAGGAAAATGCCCCTRATCTGCTGAACATCACAAGCAAAATACTCAAAACACTGAATATTGGATTAAGATCTTTTTAACTCCCTACTTTACAGCACAATCCAAGATTAGCAACAAATCAGCATTTTCACAAGTGGGCTTGCTTACCTTTCTGAAACAGCTCTGGCTTTTAAAAGGGCTGCTGTGTAACATATTGCTGCTGATTTTGGAAGAGTGATATCTACGATAAAATAAAAACAATTAAACTGTTACACTTAAAGATAAAAGACAAACACTTTAAACCCACTTCCTTTGAACTTAAAGATTTTTATTTGGGTATACCATACAATAAATGTCACGTCTGGAACATATCAGCTATGATTAGAAACCCTGAACTTCTTAACAATGAAATAAAGTGTTATGGTGACCATTCAGGCACGGATCAAAAACCCCAAGAGTCAGGCTGGAAAGAGTAATTCTTTCTTCTAAACGTACCCAGACACTGAAACTGGATTTAAGGAGAAATGCATGTATAAGAAGACACTTGAGAAAGAAGTCTTTCCCTTTCCCTTTGGTAGACACCTGGCTTTCGGACAGGCACAGTCTGCCTCCTCACCTATAGGATTATACATAAATGTATACATAAATGTAAGTGACATCACTTACCATCRTACTTTGCTAAAACTGCCTGGACATCTGCATAGGCCTGTAACTCCAGCAGTGCCTCCAGGAGGTTTTCATGAATATTCAGCATGCTAAGAAGCGGAAACTCTTTCATTAACTGCAAAATAATAAGGAGAAATAAAGCAGGTACAATTATATATTATTTTATTTGAACTCTTCAAGTAGCTAAGAAAAACTAATACAATAACAGAGCATTGAAAAAGCTTAAATTATTTACCTTAAAAAGGTTACTTTTTTTTTTTTTTTTTTTTGCCTACATTCATCTACTGGAAAATGAGTTTCCTTAAGTGTTGATATACCATACTACCAGCACAGACTGGCTTGTTTTCCCCAGTGGGCCGGTTTGCTGAGAATTTTTTTGTGTAGCAATAAGATATGATACACCTTGGGCAAGCAAAASACAAAAGTGATATACAGCGAAGTACAAAGTTCAGCTCTTTTGACAAATTGGCAAATAATTAAATTAAATTCACAACGATACCTGGAAAGGGTATTTTACATGACAAGCTTGGACAATGAGGCAGAAAAACCATCAGAAATCACTCACACTTCTCTCAAATTACTTACATCTCTCATCATTTTTACAGCTTCTCTTATTCTTCCAAGTTTTCTTGCACACATAGCTAGCCTCCTTTTCACATACACCAATACATTGGTGTCTCTTCCTGATTAAAAAAAATGAAGAATTAGTCCATCACTTGCAGTCCTTTTAAAAAACAAGTACATATGAATACACACTCTAATAGGAATATTTTAAAGTAGCTAATAGAGGTGAAACTGTCCACAGAACCAAAATAGTAAAGGTACATTCAGGATTCCAGTCATTATCTTTTGTGTACCTCTAAAATGAAGAGATACAAATCGCGCTCTCAGAAAAACAAAAAAAGTCAACAATTCCTTTCTATGAGGTTAAAATGGCAAAAAAAACCACCCCACTAGAAATAGACTTAAAAATAAGGGTTGGCTGGAATAAGAGGAGCCTCAACAAGACAACCTATGATAAAAACAAAGCATAACTTCCACTTTCTAGATTTACTCTGGTACTATAAAGATCATACTGCATTTCATACCAACCATAAGTAAAATAATGAGAACTGCTTCTCCGATTCAGAAATCAAACTCAAATCACTAATCATAAACATGAATATAAACATAATTCATTTTATTTTGCTGCTGAAAAACAGATGTTTATCTGCTTCAAAAGYACTTACTGAGCTGTGCTTCATGCTGGGGACTTTGGGAATGGCAGTTCTGAGACTTCCTGTAAATTGTTTCTCCTGCTTTCAGAGCCTGTTTAAAATACTTCTCAGCATCTACAATAGTTGTTGCTTCTTCCTCAGCCAGGAGGACATAGGCAGTTGCACAGCTGTTAAAGGAGAAAAGATATATATTATTCTGAAGAACATAAAGCTTAACATTTTTGAATAAATGTAAAAAAAAAAAAAAAAAATCAGAAATAAGGAGTTTTTGCTTGTATTTAGTATCAAAGTAAGCACTGACAATAGTAGACTGCTGTACCATAATATTCACTATGTTCCAAGTGGCAAGTACCAGGAAAACAAAGGCTTTTTCAGTTTTAAGGCAAAATAAACATTTCAAGAAAAAAAGAAGTTATAATTGCCACTAAAATTATTTTGCATTAAATATTTAAAACTATGTGATAATTGCATGAAAGTATTTYATTCAGTTTGTCTCCTAAAACAAAAAAGTCAAACCTTTTTGCACAAAAAGGAACAGATTACAAAATGACGACTGCAAAAGTGAGTGRAGTTTTTTGGTTTGTGCAGTACCAGTTTATTCAAACCCTTTAGAGCACCATCATCCACGGATGCCAAACACAGTACCATTGCAATGCCATTCTGGATGCACCTGGATTCCCATATTCATTTATGCCTTTTTCACCTCAGAATGACTTTTCCTGTGTGTTATTGCCACTGATGCAAATAATTATAAAGATTTTTTTTATAAAAAGGGAGAACATAAGCTACTTTTTATAAAACACAGACCAACAKTTCAGTGTAACCAACAGACACATTTGTAATTCTCATACTTTAAGGATGATTTTACAAGTATTTGTAAACTTATCTTGCTCATTCTGAATATTTAGGATAAGAAACTGATACTTTGGTCAATATCATGTCATTTAACCTTTCAGACCATAAACAAGGAAAATAAACTTATACTCTAAACTTACTCATTGTTCAGTTCTAAAGCTTGATAAGCGGCTTTAATCCGGGCTTGGGGGTTTCTCTCTCTCCATGCTTTCTGCATGACTGTTACAAAAACACAGAAAGGCTGATGAGGAACAGAAACGCAGACTAACACCTCGCAAGCCAGTCAGAAAAGCAGAGCCAATATTGGCTGTTTATGCTTCATCTCTAATAGATTAACATTCACTTTCATTTTGCAAATTCACCTTTGCTAAACAACTGCTCTAGGGAAGAGTAAACAAGTGTTTTAATTCCAGCAGGAGCTTCTCTCACAAAAAGCAGAATTTTGCAACACCGATTATGTCACAAACTTAATGCAATACAGCAATACCAACAGGAAGTTCATTCATTGGCCATTTAAGAATCCTAAACCAAACCAAAAGGCAGCTTACATAATGGGGCAGATGTACAGTTTCTAAGTTCCTACAGATTTCTGGAAACATTTCACAAGGTTTGTTGAAAGCTTGGCAGGAACAATTGTTAAAACACAGATTCTTGCACAGACCTGCACAGAATTTTAATTTAAGCTTTCAAACAGAACTTCAAAGCAAGGTGATATAGTAAGGCGTGTGTTACACAGTTCTTTCAGACTTCAGTGTTTAGAAAATTACCAGACCACAAAGGGTTAACGCATATTTGAGTGACATAACAGGGCAAAGCCAGTTTAAGATGCAAGATGAAAATTTATCTTAYKAAAAGAAACTCTAGGAAATAACTARAAACAAAGRACGAAATCTACCTATTCAAAAGGTTTCTCTGACCTACTATTCAAATAARAAGTTAGTCAGACGAAAAGCAAAGTTCAGTGAAGCATCTCTGCATCCTTCCCTTCCTTTGCTACTAAAGAAAAGTGGAATCCTAACCTGGGCACCRACTTCAATCTAAGACAGCTTACTTGCAGCTACCATTTGCTAGGSAGATTCAGTATCTTTCACATAATAACAGTTCTGAAAGAACTCTGGAACATTACATTCATGGAATTAAATATCTGGCCAATCTCAAGTATGATAAGAAAACTGAAGAACCTATGCATGTTTCTTTTGGAACAAAACTTTCTGCTGTCCAGCAAGAATAACGTGGAAAAACGTTCAAGTTTTCTTTTGGAAACAAAATATTAGTCTTGGCTTAATAAGCGAGACAATACACTCCGTGTGTGAAGCAAAAACACATCCAGCCTGTCACAGCTAGCTGACAAGCAACGCTTCCGGCACCTGACAAATTGCTAATAGTGAGCACCTAGTCTGACGATAACCAGGTTGAGCACATTTTCTGTACTGAACATTTGGAATACTATGGAAAAAATCACGGAGACAGCACAGTTCATCAACAGTGTGTTTAAATGAGACCACTGTACTGTTTATGGAGAATAAGTCAAGTTTTCAGTATCCTACTGTTAATTAGTAAGTGTGAGATCTTAAAATACTCTATGAATCTGATGTACATCCACTCTTAAAGGTGACTGACATAGCACAATGTAAAATACTATCTATTCAAATATGTAAGTAGTAGGGAAAGGCTATTATTTCACAAAACTTTTCATATGATAGCTTATGCTATGTTGTCATACAATAAAAATATTCACTTTACACTCCCCATAGCTGTATTTTATACATACGTGAGTGGTACCTGTATCTGAAGGGCGAAGGGCATCTGTATCACATGTGAAAAAGTTCTGATGATCTTGAGCAGACAAATTCATGTCGTAGTATGTAAGAGGCTCCTTCCCAGTCACCCACATGTATCTTTAACAAGAGAAGTTCCAGTAAGGTGCAAGGCCAAGGAGGACTAACACACAGCTGTGCTAACACTGAAGTTAGTGCAGAAAMCTTCTCATAAGACTGGGCTACTAACATCACCCTGCTCAGGTTCACAGAAATACCTGCATTCTCAACATGAAACTGCTAAAATCTAGGTATGTGTTTTTTAAACACAGGATTGGAACAAATCCAAACTTCATCCCTATAAACTCGTAGATCTCGTCTCCCAGCAGGATTATTGGGAGCTCTGGGAACACAACATAAATATGCTGCAGGTTAATTTTAAAAGCATGCAGTGAAAAATGAAATTATTAATACCTGCTGTATTCTGCCCCTCTGAAAAGATTGAGAGGATTTCGCCATACTTTGCACTCTGAAAATGATAAAAAATAAGTACTTTCTGAAACAAGAGCGCAAGAAATACTATGATGACTTTCAGAAAAAGTGGTTACACAGTCTTACTTCAATAGCAAACCCCACAACTGGTTTTAATCCAGAATTTATACAGTTTCATCACAATTATGACTTATTTTAATGTATATGATCATTTTCTGCTCCCTAAGTCTACTGTCCCATGGATTTTTTCCCTGCATCATTTCCATCATACAAAAGCACATGAGAGAAAAATTAAACACTGCCATTCAYATTTACGCAATGTTTATCTTGTACATATTTAGAATAGCACAGACCTATTCTTACTGAAACAGTTCTAGCTAACCACATAATATATTTTCAAAATAATGTGATGCTTTTAATAATGTTTTAGATGAACTATATTATACAATATATTACGTATCACTTAATTTCACAGAATCACTATGAATAAAATACATCAGTAAAACGTAGGCCTTTCTCCAGTTTCTATAAGCACTGATACATAATTAAAATGACTCAAAAAAAAAAAAAAACATCCCTCGAATTGAACCCAAGGAACCACCAGGACACGTTAAGAGTCACCTGGCAAATTCTGCCTGTTTGTCTCGCTCTCTCCACTGCTCGCCGAGAACGTGACAGGGGCTGCAGGGCTGTTTTCTACTCCGCCGATGAGGGGCCTTAAGTGACTCACAGACACCTGCTCGATGAAAGACGTGCCGTATTTTCGGAAGTGCCACCACTCAAATACCTGCCGCAAAGAGGGAAAAGGCATCAGGAGTTGCTTTGGGCAATGCTCTTCCAAAATAGCACRTGGGCAAAGATGAAGAGTGAACGGTGAACAGCAAGGACAGGTCTTTGCAAATGACTACRGACAGAGCTTACCTACTACTAATTAACACCAATTAATGACAAGATCTTGTCTTGTCATGCAAGACCTCCCACAAAACATGCGGGAAAAAGACAGTAAAATTTTCATTAAACTTGTGGTTCCTCCCTCCCCAAGTTGTTAGGCTAAATTCTAAGTTCCTGTATAGCACAAAGGCACCCTCTAGAGTCCGTTCAACAAAACGGCTTATTGCATTTCACCTTAACAAGCCCAAAAGCGGGGAAAAAAAAGCGGGGGGGGGGGGGGGGATGGATTTAGGGAGAAGAAGTGGGGGAGTAGGAAAGCTGACTACTTACAAATATCAGTCCAGAAATAAAAGACGAAGTCACAGTAAGTGCAAAGTAGAATTTTGGTGTCAACGTGCTTAAGAACACAGTCACTGTTAAGAGAAACAAAACCAGAGTTTACAAACACAACCAAAAACCAAAAGTGCGTTGTTTTTAAACAGGAAACACTCTATAAAACACTACGCAAACATAAAACAGAGCAGAGCCTTGGTAGCTTAATGGACGTCGGTTWTTTAGTTAGAGGGCCCTTCCCGCGTGTCACCTTCTTGCTGAAGCTGCCCGGAACATCGGGGAGGCCACGGACCCCTCTGAAAACCTCTGTGCAAGCTCCGGGGTAAGGGCAGCCGCAACCTCACAAGCCACTTCAGCGCGTTATTTTATCTTAATCTAAAGCAAAACCTGTTGTTTTGATATAGTTTTCAGCTCACAGCTGTCAAGGCCACCGAGGAAGGTCACTTTTTTTTTWWAAAAAAAGCACATTTTCGTATGCGCTTGGTAGTGAAAGGCACGAGACGTGATAGAGGCGCAGCGCGGAGGGGGCTGCGCGGCGGCGCCGCTCACATGGGGG